CCCAAGGTTTTGTGGGAGGGAGTCCGACCCCACAAGCCCAAGTATGTCCCGGTATTGCCGCCTTTTGCTCTCAAACACACATTTGACCCAACGTATGGGACCCTGAGTGTAGGAATAGACTTGTTGAAGAAGGAGGTGGTGGTTTGCCTGGGGTACCACCTTCTAAAGCTGTCACATAAGGAGGGCAAAGACAGTTCTGGCTTGTGACCCATGGCTTCATAGCTCAGCTTCCTTCTTGGCTTTGCATGACCTCAGTGAGTTTACAGTGAGCATGCCTTGAGACTCTGAATGAGCAGTTTTCACACTTGTGAAGCAGTCAGTTATGAACTTTTAAGTAGATATGCTGTATTTAAATGTTCTCCCTAAAGCCACTGACAATCATAAAGCCCACTCAACAAATATAACGGGAATTCTTTTAATTCATTGGTGTTAGCGCTGTGGAGTAGCGTACTACATGTTGCCTTTGTACGTTTTTGTACATTTGTATTTTATGGAGTTATTCTTAGCATATTTTGATTTGAAGTATATCTGAATATAGTGGTATACCACTGTTGTAACACTAGATTTCTGGCTTCTAAGAGCTTGTTCGTGGCATTGGGAGGCAAGTAGCTCAAACTTCTCAGTGGGATAAAGACAGTTCTGGGGAATTCAAAATGAGTCAGCATCCCTGAGCAGAGCAGCAGGAGTTGAAGACATTCAGAACAAAGAATTTTTCTTTTTAAAGGGATGAGTGATTTCACAAAGGCAGTGAGTGAAATTTAAGCAAATATGATTCTAGCTCCGCTTTGAAAATTCTTTTACCTGCATGAGAAGTGACCAAAAGGAGCCAAAAGGAATGACCTGGGTTTTTTTTTAATATTTTATTTATTATTTTTATTTTATGTGTATGTATTTTTATTTATGCATGTATGTGAGTGCACCCATGTCATGCAATACTGCCGAGGTCAGAAGAGGGCTTCAGATTCCCCTGAAACTGGAGTTATAGATGGTTATTAGCCACCATGTGGGTGCTGGGAATCGAACCCGGGTCCTCTGCAAGAGGAGCCAGTGCTCTTAACCGCTGAGCCATCTCTCCAGTCCACATTGTTATCTTTTTATTTGAATCAGAAATGAACTTAAAGTTCTGTTATGTCAATTCATTCTGATATTATGAGACAAATGAGGAAATTAATAAAAATTTTATTCAGCACTGAATGTTCTGTAAACATCTTATTTAATCCACAGAAAATCCTTAGTTTAAAAAAAAAAAAAAAAAAAGACTGCTTCCAGTTTATAAATCAGGAAGCAGAGACCTAGAATGAATGGCTTATGAGGCTGAGAAGTCATGTAGACAGGAGCGGAACTAAATTCAGGTCCAAGACCTTCTGTCCAGCGATAGCGCTACTGTACAGAGCATTCACCGTTCAACACCCACGTGTACTCAACACAGGAACTGAATCCCAAACAGATGCTGTGCTCGAGACTTCTGGGGCACTCAGGCTCCTGTTCATGAAAACCAATGTAAATGCTGCCCTCTGTCAGCAGGTCTACAGGTTCCGTCTTTGCCCTCTGGCTTTGGAAACCACAGAGTGTGATGAGTTCAGGGACACGTTCACACCACACTCCTTCAGACTCCCTTTTCTTCATGAAACCTAGAGAACTTGCTGTTAGTGTTGTCCTTACTGTTTTAATGTGTTGATTAGAAGTGCTTATGTGAAGTCTAAGCTGCTGTCAACTTGGTGATTCTGTTTCAGATCTCTATTCCAGTGTTTTCGGTAACCCTCATAAAGAAAACCAAAACTGCCCTTCTGGTGCCAAATGCCCTGATCATAGCGACAGTCACTGACAGGGTGAGTGTCTTCAGACCAGGACCGCCTTTGCTTTGGGTTGTGGTACTTTTGTTTGCTGTTGTTCTTCTGAGGTTTTGCTGTTGTTGTTTACAATTTAATGTATTTTGCAAGAACAACACAGAAAACAGACAACATTAAAAACATGATTTGCATGTAAGACAACTCAGAAAACTATGGTGCATGGACAGAATCTACTATGTGATGACAGTGTTGTTGTCAACTTTAGGAAATGGCACCATTTCGCTGCCACCAATAAGAAATTTATCCATTGAAAGAAAAAACCCTGGAAGCCCAGCAAGATGGCTCAGGGGGTAAAGGCATTTGCCGTGCAAGTCTAACAACCTGAGTTGAATACTGGAGAGAACTCCCAAAAGTTGTCCTTGGATCTCCACGTACACAGCAGGTGCCTATCACCATGCACCTTATACACACATGCACACACACACGCATACACACACACACATACACACACAAACACACACCAATAAATAAGACTAAGTTTTAAAAAAGGAATCCTGGGCCAGTGAGATGTCTCATTGAGTAGACATGCTACTGTAGGCCTGAGAACCTGAGTTCAATCCCTAGATCCCACAGGGTGGCAGCAAAGCACAGATCCTGCTGATCTCCACACATGCACCATAGCACACAAGAGTTTGTGCATGCATGCTGTCATGCATACACACACACACACACACACACACACATATTAAATAAATTCGTTATTTTTAATCTAAATGTGACCTGGGTGTGCACTCAGGAGGCAGAGGCAGGTGACTCTCCGTGAGTTCAAGGCCAGCCTGGTCTACATAGCAAGTATCAAGTTCCAAGCCAGCCAAGACTATATAAAGAACCCTGTCTCAACAACAACAACAAAAACCCAATGTAAGCATTATCCAGAAAAATTTAGCTTTTTCAAGGAAACACTTTGACCTGCATTAATGCTCTATAGCCCTACATTTATATTAAATATTCACACACAAATGAAAATGGAAAAGCCACCAGTACCGATTTCTCTCCGGTGGTTTTCCACTCACAATCGTATATTTAGGTAGCTATTGACCCCACAGGGGAAAGCCATCCAGCACCGAGAAGAAGAGGGAAAGAGCAAAACAAAAAGCAGATTTTCTAGAATGAGATGTTTACCATCCTGGTGAATTTTTAAGCAGGCTGTCCACATGTGCAGTGCAGACTGGGCATCTTTTGGTATGGATAGGGCACAGGTAACATCTTCAGAAAGGTCAGCCTCATCTGCTTCATGCACAGCGCCACTGGCAACACTCTGTAAGTGCGTATCTCTTTTGAAGTCTTGAGCACTTTCTTGTACCAGATGCTGGAAGTTTGCAAGAAGAAGTTCAACTGTTGATAATATCTAATTTCAGAGGACCACAGTACCAGGCCTAGTACAGGAAATATTCTAAAAGGAGCATGTGGTATCTTACACCTGTAATCCCAGCATTTGAGAAGCTGAGACAGGAGGATTATCAAGAATTTCAGGCCAGCCTGGGATACAGAGTGAGACACTCGTTTGTCTCCAAAAAATAACATTTTGTGTGAGATAGTTCAGTGGGTAAACATGCTCGCCACCAAGCCTAATCCCTGAGTTTGATCCCCAGAATCTACATGTCAGGAGAGAATGACTCCAGCAAGTTTCCCTCTGACCTCCACACACACACACCGTGGCACACTTGTACCCACATACTTACACACATAAATAAATCAATGTAGGGGTTGGAGAGATGGCTCAGCTTTTAAGAACACTGGTTGTTCTTGCAGAAGACCCGGATTCGAATCCCAGCACCCACATGGCAGCTAACAACTGTCCATAACTACAGTCGCAGGGGATCCGACAGCCTCTTCTGACCTCCACGGGCATTGCACGATATGAGTGCACTTACCTACATGCACGCAATACATGCATACACACAAAATAAATAAAATAAATAAAAATAAAAGTTTAAAAAAATGTAATTTAACAATTTTTAAAAGAAAGGTGAAACCCCTGCAAAATTAGCATTTGCATTACAAAATATTATAGCTTAGAGACATTATTGATGTAATCTTGTTGCCTCAACAAGACGATTAGCTCTAATACACTTGGTGCCAATTTTGAATTTTCTGATGACTTAATTATACTTGCCTGGCCAAGGTCAAAAAAAAAACTTCTTTCCCAACTTTCATTTCCCAGATGTCTGTTCAGTCAGACTAAACTGATGTTTAGTTCCTTTAATAAACAATCCTACTGAAAGGGTAAGGCAGGAAGACACCAAGAAGTCCCTGGGGTGGGCGGCCACTTCCTTGTAAGGTTAGTAGGTTCCTCCACAGAGCTGACTCACAGCTGCTTATTGAGTGCAGCTTCAGGATCTGCTCCAGACTCTCTGCTACCAGGAGCCTGAGCAGCCTCTCTTCTGTCCAAAAACCCTGGAGTAACCCTTGACAACTAGGCTACCCTGAACAAGGTCAGCCAGCAATATTTCCATGGAAAGTGACATTTCAGCTTGGCAAAAGAGAGAGCAGAAGAGTCTAGCTGTTCATTTTCAATCTTACACCTACTCTTTTTGTGAAAGTGGAAAAGCTCCTTCAACTTCTAACCATATGAGGTAACTGACAGAGAGGAGAGAAAAAGGAAGACAGGCTATTTTGACCAAGTGTGGTAGGGTACACCTGCTTAAGCAGGGCAGGCACAAGTTTGAGGCCAGCCTGGGCTACAGTGAGACTCTATTTCATACAAATATATTATATATGATATAAATGTATATCATATATATTATATATCATAATAAGCTAGAACATAAATGAGCATGCCTATTTTTTAGTACTAATAGCTATCAGGTACTTGCTCTTTGCCAAGCATACATAACATCTTAATTTGTATTATCTCATTTGTTCATAGTACAGGAATGAACAGTGTGATTAAGCAATTTTCCCATTGTTACCCCCTTATTAAGTATCAGAGCTAAAATTTGCACCTAGATCTGTCTAGTGCCAGAACCCACAGTGTTGTCTACTTTAGAACATAATACTGAGTTGGAAATTACCTCAATTTCTCTTGGTGGTGAATGAGAGGGAACATTAGAAACTCATAGAAAGAGGTCTGAAAGATCCTGTGACCCACACATATGGAGAAAGCCTGACTTTTAACATTTTCATGGAAGCCAGGTGTATTGTCACATACTTGAAATCCCAGGACTCGGGAGGCAGAGACAGGCAGATCTCTGTGAGCTCCAGGCCAGTTGGGGCTACAGGGAGACACTGGTTCAAACCAGCTCCCCCCCCAAAAAGATTTATGGACATACCATTTGCACAAAAGTAAAATTTTTCCATATGTCATTTGTCTATAGATTATTTTGTCTAGCTCTGATTTTTTACTCTTTTCCTATAACTCTTTTACAAACGTCCACAAGAAAAAATGTCTCCATATTGGTACAAGAATCTGGAAGTGGCATGGAAAAGAAGGGGCCAACTGGAGCTGCTGGGACGTTTTTAATGAAATTTAGGTCAGAGCAGAGAAAGCAGTCCCATGGGAATCATTAAATACCTTTAAAAACAAAAGACTGGAGAGCAGAAGAATTTTAGCAAGAGCCCAACATGCATCAGCAGCTTTACCTTAATGCCCAGCCCAGCCCATCTGTACTCTGGGGAGGGAGGGGCAACCCAAGTCATGTTTTCAGAGTCTTCATTTTACCCTACATTTCACTACCCTTAAATTGAGTTTGGGGTTTTTCAATTGCTATAACAAATGAGACGTAAGGTGCTAGAGTTATAGCTCAGTTAGCCTAACAGACACAAAGCCCTGGATTCAGTCCCTAGCATCACATAAACTGGACATGGTGGTATACACCTGTAATCTCAGCACCCAGGAAGTGGAGGCAGTGCTACCAGGAATTCAAGATTTTCCTTGGCTACATAGCAAGTTTGAGGCCAGCCTGGGACACATGAGACCCTGCCCCTACCCCCCCAAAAGTGGAATATACTTGCTTTATTCAAGAAATAAAAGTTAAATATTTGGGTAAGAAACATGAGACTATAGTTCAAATAACAGTCTCTGTCACTTGAAAATATAAAAAGTAGCTACCAGCAAGATGACTCAATGTATAAAGCACACTTGCCACCAAGTCTGATGACCACATGGTAGAAGGAGAAAACCAATTACCACAAGCCGTCCTTGATCTACACACACACTGGAAAGCACATACACACACACACACACACACACACACACACACACACACACACACACACACGCACACACACACACACACAATCAATAAATAAATGTAATTTTTGCATTTTTACCGAAAATATAAAACTTTCAGCTTCTGAACTCTTGGCCCTACTTTATCTTTCAGTACATATTCGTTTCCTTACTCTCCAGAGATTCAACATACAAACTGCTAAAATCTGTGTGTGGACATCTAGACGTGAGTATGACGTCAGGATTCTAAGTTACTGTCTCTCTTCTGTCTTTTTTTAAAATACTGTCCTCATCATTCTTATTTCATGTATATAAGTGTTTGCATGCATGTGCATAAGTGTACCACGTATGTGCAATGTCCACAGAGGCCAGAAGGGGTGTCAGATCCCATGGAACTAGAGTTACAGATGAGTGGGTGTTAGCCACCATGTGGTGCTGGGGAACTGAACCCAGGTCCTCTGGAAGAACTGCCATTTCTGAACCATTTCTCCAGCCCCTTTCTTCTGAATTTTTTAAAGTCTGCAGTTGATCTGGTTGTTCATTTTGTTACAATAATTTCAGAACACAAGTGTTGGTAACAGCCCCAACCCATCTTCTGCTGAAAATAGTTTCCGGACAGAACGCCCTTCATCTCTGCCTCTGGTAAGTTGCCTACATAACCCTCTAACTAGAAAAGCAAAGGATGTGTGCCATAGTTACACTGTGCTTACTTCACAGCCAGAGTTTAGGAAGAACTCACGACTAGAGTAGTTGATGGACACCTTCAGAGCAAAGCTTACCTCTCCCGAAACAGGAACCAAAGGAGGCCATTAACTGTTCTCTAGTCATTGAAGAATTGTTCCATACAAAAAAGAAGCATAAGAATCCAAGCACTTAAGTGTTTCGAGGCTAGATGTGTAGCTCAGTTGGTAGAGTGCTTGACTAGCATGGACAAAACCCTGGATTCTATCCCAGCACCAAACAAACTGGGCATGATGGCACACACCTGTAATGTCAGCACTTGGGAAGCGGAGGCAGAAGGATCAGAAGTTCAAGGTCATCCTCAATTACATAGAGAGTTTGAGACCAGCTTGGGATACATAAGACCCTGTCTCAAAAAATATATATTATTATATGCTATAATATAATTAATATAATGTGAACACATAAAATATTCAGTTTTCTTTCCCCTATAAATTTCTGTATGGAATTGAATAAATGTTAAGGTGACCCAAGGACAGCAAATTCAGGTAGAACAGTCTCTCGTTTGCTTACCAGATGAGTCTCTTATACTGTCAACGAAACTGTTAAAAACTCAGCCTAATGAAACTTTTGTCAGGACCATTTCAGAACACCACGTGTCTCTTTAGTTCTCAAACAGTTCCGGGGAGGCAATGGAATACAAGTTCTAACATCTCTATTTCTGTCCTTCACTCCTGCCCACTTCCTGTCATTTGAATGTAATCTATCTGACCCTATTTTGATCTAATTTAAAAGGCTGTCTTTTCATGATCTGATTTGCTGACAGTGCTGTTTTCCTTTCCTGTGTCTGATATCTTTTTTTCAGATTATAATTTACAAATACATTCTCCTTGTCTGTGTATTTGAACTTGGCTTTGAGCTTTCTGTCCTCTTTTCGCCTAAGCCATCTGCGGCTATTGGGTTTCTCCCTGCATAGTGCTGTTGAGGCCTCTTGGCCTCACACTGGCAGCTTTTCAATCACCAACATTCCAGTGGTTTTTCTAGATATTTGTTTCAAAGAAGTTGTGCACTGATGGTTGACAGAATCCTAACCATGCAGAAGACATGAGACACTAATCTATTAGGAAAACCTCATAGTGTGGTGTGTTTAAAACTATATTTTATGGGTCAGGTCTGAGAGAGAGGATGAGGGGGTACAAACGCCTGCCCGGCTCTTCACTACATTGTCTTCCTTCAGGATTTCAATTATGAATTCACAGATCTGGACGGAGTGGTTCGACAAAGAAGGCAGGACATGGAAGGGTACAGCAGCTCCGGCTCTCAGACTCCAGAATCTGAGAACTCCCGAGGTCTGGGAAACCTTTGTATCTTGACTTAAATTTCATGCCCTCCTAGAAACAAAACAAAACCCACCTCTTCCCAGTAAATAGTTGCAAAGGAAATCTGGGAAAAAGGATCACAAAGTTCTAGGGAAAGGAATTACCTACATGGCAAAAATCCATTTCCTTTTATCCACATTTAACAGATATCTCTTAATTTACCATACTAGAGTGACTAAGACAAATCAACGTGTGTTTTCTTACCTCCTGTTTCGGTAACAGTAGTAATCACTAATCCTATAAGTCTGAGGATGCCCACAGAATCCTTGCATCATTTCATTCCTTGCTTGAACATTGAGTTTCAGTCTCTAGACACCACCCCCACTTACCTCCGCTTACCTCCTTGGCCATTATGCAAATCAAAGAGTGATGTGCTTTATAGTTGACATTATGATTTTTAAATGCATTAGGGAGCAAACTGAGCCTGCCTCATTTTCCTTGGCAGACTTCCATGTGACAGAATCTCAGACAGTTCTGAACGTTACCAAGGGAGAAACAAAACCACCTCGGGCAGATGCCCACGGGAACAGAGTGCCTGAAGGAAAAGCCAAGAGCATACCTGCTCACGGTGAGGAGTGGGGTGTTTCTGTAGATGCTGTTTAAAGAGCCCCAGTGTTTCATATGACTACCTCTCAGTAGACCCTCCCTTTTCTACCTGTTGTAGGTCTTTGCATTTCAATTCCCACTTATTTATCCAACAAGTAGTACCCAGCCCTGGGCTTTTTGAGGAGTTACAAAGTCAGAGCCTTCATGGAGGTCCTCCCATTATACTAAATACTTTGAGATTATGAACCAAAAACTGGTGGTAAACCTCAAGTTATTGACTTGTTTTTTACTAATTATGCTGATAACTCGCAAGAATAAGGACAGTGGGGACTCCAACGCAATACATGGCAGCCTCTCAGTATGTGTTAAATGAAATGAGCTGGAAAATAAAAATTGCAGCTGCTGGTTAAAATAACAACGAGGAGGCTTCAGTTACTATTTTCTCCTTCACCTGGGAATGATTACCTGCCTCAAATACCTCTCCCCTGTTGAGATACCGTTAGGTGAAAGAAGCATGCCAGGGTGCTAAGTTTCTGCTTTTCTGCTTTCCATCCAACAGGTCAATCAGAAACGACTGGGATCTTGCATAAAGTCAAGTCTCAGAAATGTCCAGCCCTCCATCATATCCTTATATTCTACGCAGTTGTGTAAGTAAGCATTTTTACTGTGAGTGGTTTATGCAAATGATTTAGTTCTCCAAATATAGCTGTGAGCCATTGCAAATCCTGTGTCTTGACCTGGCCCACATAGTGTCCTTGACAAATTCCATCTCCTACATTTTTCCCCTTGGGCTGAGATCACCTTTTTCTTCTGTTCTGTTTTCTGATCAGAAGCCAAGATATTTTCAAGATCGCCCTCTTTACTAAAATCTTAGGAATGGACTTTCAACATCTTCATCAAATTCTAGTCTAATTGTTCTCCTGAAAATAACCAGTCCAGTTCTAGGGTGTCCCTCACCCCAAGGGGGGTAGATATGCCCAATCTGGTCCCCAACCAAAGCAGGAGATTTGTGAGTCTCCAGAAAACAAGGCTTGCTGCTCTCTGCCCAGACTCCTCTGCCAGAGGCTGAAAGTGCAGAAAAGGAATGGGGCCACTGGCTCAGTCATCTAACTTGGGTCTGGCCTTGAGCTGTCCTGTAAGAATGACCATTATTTGTACTTTGAGGAATTTGGATGATGGGATTTCAAGTCCTCCTTGTTATGAAGTTTTATGGCAAGCATTAACTTGTTTTTTTTTTTAAACAGACCTTTTAAAGTCTTTTTAACTGAGTTCTTTTAGAAAATGCCCCAGTATAGAGCAATGGCTCTGAGTTTGTTGTTTTTTGAACATCAGATCCTAATCATTGACCCATTGGAAATTTCTCTTTATCCCTTTCTAGTGTCTGTGCACTAATCATCTCAAGCTTCTACATGAGATACAGAATTAACACTCTGGAGGAGCGGCTGGGGTCCCTGACAGCCCTTGTGGATACCCACAGTACTGAGTAAGACAACATCCAGTGCTTGTTATTCAGATTAGTGAATCAACTGACCCAAGCTTGGTGTCCTCCTAGGCAAACACTAACTGAGAATTCGTTCTGTGTGGAACATTGAGTTAAGTGTTCACTTGGAAAGTAAAGAGGTAAAGGGGTCCTAGAAATGAGTGGCCTCCTGAGTTGCTCTAATGTCTCCAGTGATACAAGAAACATACTAACGTTACATTGTTTCATGATTTTCCTAAGATGATGGTTGGCCTATTTAATAAATTGTTCAAGTTTAGCTTTATAAAATGGCATTAAGACATTCATTTTAAAAAGAAGCAATTCAAGCAACTCAGCACTTACTATCATATATAATTGTTTATATTAACCAACTTCTTTGCAAAACCCTTACCCCCTATAAATATTCATCACTATTAATTTGTGGAATGTGTCTGTGAAGTTTTTTTCAACCATCACTTCTCAACATACCTATCTAATTAAAACTATTCAACCTATTCAGTCTTTCCTTTAAATCCATTTACATGAAAGATTTTGATACATTGAAATCACTTTTGGCTAGATATATCCCTTTATGGAACAGCTGCCATTTGCTAGAGTCCCTATTAAAATACATACATACGTGTGTAAATCAAATTTTCACTCATATTTTCACCACAGCTTTATAAGAGAACTATTATTTCCATTTTACAGTGGGAAAACTGTAAGTTAGCTTAATGTCTTACAGTTGTAATGAAACCATGATTCAGATTCAGATCTGTATAACCATAGAGACCCCCAATCTGGGCTCCCAATCTCCCAGGGGCTCTGACACTTTAGCATGCATTCAGAATCCACTAAAGGGCTTGTCCCAGAGTTGCCAATGAAGTAAGGCTAGAGTGGTGCTTCCCAAAGATGCTGACAGCATGGTCGGAGATCACACTTCCTACTGTGTGACCTTTTCCACTCTCACCCAAATTACCTAAAGGCCTTGACCTGAGGCTTACATGTATGCTAGCATACAGATCATATTTGGACCATAAATACATATTTCAATCAATAAAATAACACAGAAGCCCAATAAATAGTTTAGAATAGATCCATACCCTCCCCTTGCACTCCAATCATGTTCAAATGTTAATACAACTAGAGGCAAGAGGTGACTCTAGATTAATATAGACAGTTACTTCACTACCCTATAAGGGGTTGATTTTGTTAGAGAAATATGCTATGTGTCCTATTACCATTTAATTAACTTGGTGGTGATAAGGAGGAAAACTCAGTAAATGAAATGCTTGTTCTCCTCTTGAAATGAACCCATGAAGAAGTACAATCTGAAAAATAACCCTGTAAAGGAAAAAAACAAAAAAAAAAAAACAAGTATGACACGAGGTCAGGGAGCACCCATTAAGGGAAGGTCTGATGGTGCAGCACCGTTCTATAACCTGAGTTTCATGGGCTCTTTGTCCAGAGTGATCCAGGAAGCTAAACACACACATGCAGTCTGATTCTGCAGGGCCTTCTTTTTGAGTCCATGCATATCACCAGGGTTGTAGCATGTTGCCAGCCTGCAGGTGGTAGACTCTTAGGGGACCACCACTCTTCCCTAGCTCCATGTCCAGGGATGGGAACATCACTGCTACTCTGAATCTCCTTTTGATACGTCATCTAAGCCTCAGGTTGCTCAACCAGAAAATCAAGGATTTAAATTCTATTTCCATGGATTAAGCACTGTTGTTTCAGTACTCAGAAACAGGTATCTTTCCTAAGATGTTGATAATCAGTAATTTAACAACTTATAACTTAACAGCACCTCTGTCTCAAAAATGGACTCTACATAAAATAAATTAGATCAGTCATTGCCATCCAAACACTGAACATCTAAAATTAAATCATGAGTAGGAAATACACAGACTGTGGCTACCTCCCTTATCAGGAAAATCTTCCAAGTAATATTGGACCATCTCTACAGAAAAATGCACTGACTGTCCTTCTCCAAAGTTCCCATGGGGTTATCTTGTACAGGACCCCAGTATAGGATCCCATGCCATGAATAGTATGATGAGTTATATTTGTACAAATTCTCAAGGAAAGAACTAAAAAAGAACTCATGTTTGAGTTCCCAGGCTTTTTGGAAGTTCTAATGTAAATGACTCCTTCTCCCATTAGAAAACCTGTGTGTGACTGAAGGAGCAGTAATTATTAGAAATGTACCTGTGGTGGGAAGAGAGAGGATGTTACAATCTGAACAAAGGATCTAAGAAACCATGTGCTTGAGAGTAATTGTCTGACTTTTGTGTGGAAGCCAAGGCACAACTCATGCACTTGAACAAAAATAACTTACGAGATTTCCAGCTGAGCTTTTCAGAGCCAGTCCCCTAAACATCTAGCCTAGAGCTGTGAATTACTACAGGGTCTTTGTGATGTTCACAAGTGAAATGCTCTTGGACCTCTCTTCTAGCCTAGTTTTCTGTTCAGACTTAAAAAGTGTTCAAACCACCTCTTTCTTTGCCCTCATTGTCTTTAGTGATTCTTTCTCTGTGCTCCTCCAGACAGACAGCACCATCCAGCCTGGGGTCACAAATACAACTGAATGTGGAAGTCCTGTGTCAGGAGCTTACGGCTAACATAGTGAAATTAGAAAAGGTGAGTTGGGGGTTTGATCTCTGTGCGATCAAGGCCAGCATGGTCTACATTGTGAGTTCCAGGCCAGTCAGGCCTGCATAGTGAGAATCTGTCTCACAAAACAAAAACAACAAAACAAAAGTTTGGGGTTTTTTTTTCTTATATATAGGAACAATCACTATAGTTCCTGTCATTTGCCACTGGCCATGGTTACAAACTCAAAGGCCTTCAGTCTGTCTGCAGGAAGCAAGCTAAGTGGGCAACCCTGGCCAGCAGGGCTCAGAGCAAATGTGGAAAAGCATTTATTTTATTTTATTTTATTTTATTTTACTTTTTGTGTACGAGTGTTATGCCTGCATGTGTGTAAGTGCACCAGTGTCATGCAATGCCAACGGAAGAGGGCGTTAGATCCCCTGGAATTGGAGTTGTGGACAGTTGTTGGCCATGATATGGGTGCTAGGATTCAAACCCGGGTTTTCTGCAAGAACAGCCAGTACTCTTAACTGCCGAGCCATCTCTCCAGCCCCACATTTTTTATTTCAGTAAACGAGCAGGATTTAATCTCATTTTCCATCAGATAATGTTTTGTTGGTTTGTCTTTTGTGTCCCTGTCTGGACATAGGACCACTGATAAGTGACCATAACACTGGGATTCATGGAGGGACATATCTATTAGAGACTACTGGACCAGCCACAGAATGATTCCACCCAGGCTGATTCATACCATGTATAAAGTATTTCATTCGACCCTTCTTAGGGGGCCCTGGCTCATAAGGAAAGAATAAAGTTTCAAAGTGCTTTGCTCAAGGTTACAAAGTAAGTTAACCTGGAGTTTGAATCACATTCTATCCAACTGCAGAGCTGTAGTTAGAAGTCCTCTGCTTGGGGATGGGAGCTCAGTGGTAGAATGTGTCTTTAGCAAGTGAGAGGCCTAGGCCTGAATTCAATCCCAACAATAAGTAAAATAAATAAATAAATCAGCCTTGACTTTATTGCTTTTCAGAATTCAGCTTTAAGCTTTGCAGATAAGACTAATACACCTCTGCTTGTAAAAGCATCTTCCCTGGGTCAACTCTGTCCTTAGTTTAAGGTATTCTTAGTTTTAAAATGATAAGATGATTAATAAGAAGACAATAACTGCTTAGAAATATCTTAGAATTAAGCCTAATTAACAAATTTATTTCTCCTTTCAATATTTCTGCCTTTCCCATCTGTTACCTACCTTGTTTTTAACCCTAATCCTTTAAGAAAGGTATGGAGTGAAAAACTGAGTATTCAGTCAGAGCTGCTGTCACACTGTCCTGTTTGGCAGCTTTACATGGCAATGTTATTATGAAAAGAAATATGAAATACAAATGAGCAAATAACCCTTGTCCTATGCTTAATATTATTTATCATTTAACCAAGTGGTGACAGAAAAGGGTTTCCAAACTACTGTTCTAAACCACATCAGGACAGGCCATTCATACTGAGTCAATGCGTCGATATCTAGCTTGGAAACTTGTCTTTAAAATCTAAAACCAGGGGGCTGGAGAGGTGGCTCAGTAGCTATGAGCACTTACTGCTCTTGCAGAGGACTCGATTTTCATTTCCAGCACCCACATGACAGCTCACAACTGCCTGTAACTCCAGTTCCAGGGAATTTAACACCCTCTTCTGGCCTCTGGGCACCTGCACACACGGAACACATAAACTCACATAAGCCTACACATACATAAAAATAAATTTTAAAAATCCAAACCGAGCCTACAAGAGATGTGGGTTAACTAATATTTTTCCACCTTCTAAAACGTTAGTTTCTGGGGTCTGGAGAGATAGCTCAGCAGTTAAGAACACAGGCTGCTTTTGCAGAGGACCTGGGTTCAAATCCCAGCACCCACATGGTGGCTAACAACCATCCATAACTCCAGTTCCAAGGGATCCAATGCCTTCCTCCAACCTCCATGGGCATCACACAACACAGCAAGCAATACAGTCATGCACAAAAAATTTTAAAAAATATTAAAATAAAGTGTTAGTTTCTAAGAACTGAAGATAATTTGCAAAGAAATGCCTACTTCCCAGGCATGGTGCTACATGCCTGTAATCCTGGCACTTGGGAGGCTGAGACAGGAGGATTGCCCTGAGTTTAAAGCCAGACTGAGCTACATATCGTGAGTAGCAGGCCAGCCTAGACTACATAGCAAGACTTTGTCTCAAAAAAACAACTGAAAAGAAAAAAAAGGCTGAGAAGGGAGGGAAGGAGGGACTTGTGGAAAGACTTTCCTACTGATCTAGAGAATGAGGCACTGTTAGTTTTCTATTTCACTCACTCTGACTTGCAAATGATACTCTTTGCAAGAAGCACAGAGAATCCCTCCCTTGCCATTTCTTCCTACCCTCCTGCCAGGCCTGGCCTGGCCACCACATCCTGTAATTAGGAAACAGAAAACAGACTTTTTCACAGCAGATCAGCAGCTGACTTGTCTTTGAGGGGTTCAAATGCAGCCCACCTGGACTGCAAAGGAGGCCTCCAGAAGTTGAAGGAGACCACCTTTGTCCCAAAGCAGAGTCCATACAAAGTAAATTGGGTCAAAATGCGCATGTCGACATTCTTCAAAGTTGTAAGTTGCACGCATTGCTCAAAGGAATCCATGTGTTATCGAGAATTGCCAGACTACTTCTGTGTGTTTTGATTGCCCTGCATGCTCCTCAGAGGCAGGTGAGCAATTGCCCAGCACAGCCTGAGGATGAAAAAGCAATGGGAAAATCTAAGACCCAACTCTGCTCTTTCTCATAATGCAGCAATTCTTTTCTGCTATCAGAGACTGACCATGTCTGAGGCTCATGATGATTCCCCAGCTCTCATTTCCTGTTTCTGTTCATGAGCACTACTGTTCGTTTGTTGTACCCCATCCACTGGACCCCAAAAAGACCACCGAGGACCCAACACACCAAAATGCAAAAGCAAAGGTTTATGGTTTATTCGGGCTTAAGCTTGGGCTCTCAGACCTCACCAACTCAACGGATCCGTGCTGAGAACCCAGAGTAAGGGAGAATGGAGCCTTTTATAGGTTTTATACAAGGGCGGGGAGATACAACTGAAGTTACATTTTGGTTGGTTCAAGGAACCTGCGCGCCAATATAATTTTAAACTGATTGGATGTATAAGATGCAGCCCTGGAAGTTTCTTATTGGTGGGTGCTATTCTCAGGGCTGTGGAATGTGCTGACTGTTATCTGTGGGGCCAGCAGTCTCCGTTTTTACCTTATAGGGCAGTTTCGTGGCCGGGCTTGCTTAATCTATAGTTTCCTGGAGTGGGGGGGG